CTACCATCTCACCTACTCCACTAAACCTAACCCACTACACCACTACCATCTCACCTACTCCACTAAACCTAACCCACTACACCACTACCATCTCACCTACTCCACTAAACCTAACCCACTACACCACTACCATCTCACCTACTCCACTAAACCTAACCCACTACACCACTACCATCTCACCTACTCCACTAAACCTAACCCACTACACCACTACCATCTCACCTACTCCACTAAACCTAACCCACTACACCACTACCATCTCACCTACTCCACTAAACCTAACCCACTACACCACTACCATCTCACCTACTCCACTAAACCTAACCCACTACACCACTACCATCTCACCTACTCCACTAAACCTAACCCACTACACCACTACCATCTCACCTACTCCACTAAACCTAACCCACTACACCACTACCATCTCACCTACTCCACTAAACCTAACCCACTACACCACTACCATCTCACCTACTCCACTAAACCTAACCCACTACACCACTACCATCTCACCTACTCCACTAAACCTAACCCACTACACCACTACCATCTCACCTACTCCACTAAACCTAACCCACTACACCACTACCATCTCACCTACTCCACTAAACCTAACCCACTACACCACTACCATCTCACCTACTCCACTAAACCTAACCCACTACACCACTACCATCTCACCTACTCCACTAAACCTAACCCACTACACCACTACCATCTCACCTACTCCACTAAACCTAACCCACTACACCACTACCATCTCACCTACTCCACTAAACCTAACCCACTACACCACTACCATCTCACCTACTCCACTAAACCTAACCCACTACACCACTACCATCTCACCTACTCCACTAAACCTAACCCACTACACCACTACCATCTCACCTACTCCACTAAACCTAACCCACTACACCACTACCATCTCACCTACTCCACTAAACCTAACCCACTACACCACTACCATCTCACCTACTCCACTAAACCTAACCCACTACACCACTACCATCTCACCTACTCCACTAAACCTAACCCACTACACCACTACCATCTCACCTACTCCACTAAACCTAACCCACTACACCACTACCATCTCACCTACTCCACTAAACCTAACCCACTACACCACTACCATCTCACCTACTCCACTAAACCTAACCCACTACACCACTACCATCTCACCTACTCCACTAAACCTAACCCACTACACCACTACCATCTCACCTACTCCACTAAACCTAACCCACTACACCACTACCATCTCACCTACTCCACTAAACCTAACCCACTACACCACTACCATCTCACCTACTCCACTAAACCTAACCCACTACACCACTACCATCTCACCTACTCCACTAAACCTAACCCACTACACCACTACCATCTCACCTACTCCACTAAACCTAACCCACTACACCACTACCATCTCACCTACTCCACTAAACCTAACCCACTACACCACTACCATCTCACCTACTCCACTAAACCTAACCCACTACACCACTACCATCTCACCTACTCCACTAAACCTAACCCACTACACCACTACCATCTCACCTACTCCACTAAACCTAACCCACTACACCACTACCATCTCACCTACTCCACTAAACCTAACCCACTACACCACTACCATCTCACCTACTCCACTAAACCTAACCCACTACACCACTACCATCTCACCTACTCCACTAAACCTAACCCACTACACCACTACCACCTCACCTACTCCACTAAACCTAACCCACTACACCACTACCACCTCCACTTCACCTACTCCTTACCTACTACACACTCACCCTCTTCTATATATAGGAATCATGAATCATTGTAATTGATATCAATAAACATCAATCAATAATACATAAATTCTTACAAATATCAATCATCAATACATATTTCATTCTCTCTATTTTTTCATACATCAAATTTTACAGAGGATTAGGAGAGTTTGGAGCGAGCTTTTACAGAGGAGGTGTTTGGAGCTTTTGCGGGCGATGAGTGGGGAAAAGCCCCAGGTCCGGATGGTTTCACTATGGCTTTCTTCTAGCATTGTTGGAGCGTGGTTAAGAGTGATATCATGGCAACTTCGGCGGATTTCCTGGTGTCTGGGCATTTTGAGAAAAGTTTCAATGCAACCATTTTGGCTTTGATTCTGAAGAAAGAAGGGGCTGATGATATTCGGGATTTTAGGCCTATAAGTTTGTTGGGGAGTGTGTATAAGTTATTGGCTAAAGTGTTGGCAAATCGTTTACGAGGCATTTTATCGACTGTGGTGTCAGAGTCTCAGAATGCGTTTGTTGGGGGGAGACAGATTTTAGATGCAGTTCTGGTTGCCAATGAGTGTGGATCCTCGGATTCGCCAGGGGCGCCCTGGTTTGATTTGCAAATTGGATATTGAGAAGGCGTATGATAATGAAAAGTTTCAATGCAACCATTTTGGCTTTGATTCTGAAGAAAGGGGCTGATGATATTCGGGATTTTAGGCCTATAAGTTTGTTGGGGAGTGTATATAAGTTATTGGCTAAAGTGTTGGCAAATCGTTTACGAGGCATTTTATCGACTGTGGTGTCAGAGTCTCAGAATGCGTTTGTTGGGGGGAGACAGATTTTAGATGCAGTTCTGGTTGCCAATGAGTGTGGATTCTCGGATTCGCCAGGGGCGCCCTGGTTTGATTTGCAAATTGGATATTGAGAAGGCATATGATAATGTTAACTGGGAGTTCCTCTTGTATATACTGGATCATATGGGCTTCGGAGCGACTTGGTGTCAGTGGATCAAGTTCTGTATCTCGACTGTGCGGATGTCGGTGTTGATTAATGGGACTCCGGCGGGATCCTTTCAGACTCATCGAGGCCTTCGACAGGGGGATCCTTTGTCCCCCCTGCTATTTATCTTAGTGATGAAGGCGTTGAGTCGATTGTTGGATAAAGCTGTGCGCGAAGGCTTCTTGGAAGCTTTTGTTGTAGGGTCATTGGCAGGGGTTCCTTTGGGGGTTTTGCATTTGTTATATGCGGATGACGCCTTGATCTTCTATGGTGCGGAAGTTGGGCAGGTTGGTTATTTGCGATGTGTTTTGCTTTGTTTTGAGGTGGTTTCGGGCCTTTGTGTTAACTTGCGGAAGTCAGAGTTCATTCCAGTGGGAGCGGTTGCTAGGTTACCTGTTATGGCTACAGTTTTAGGGTGTAAGGTCTCGGTTTTGCCAGTGTCCTATTTGGGTTTGCCTTTAGGGGCTTCTTTTAAGGCAAAGAGGGTGTGAGGTGGGGTAGTGAAATGGGTCCAACGTTGGTTGGCAGGTTGGAAGTGCCAATATCTTTCGAAAGGCGGCCGTTTGACTTTGCTTAAGAGTGAGCTGAGTAGTATCCCCACTTATTTCATGTCGGTCGATGTTATTCCAGTGTCAGTGGCACATCGGGTAGAAAAGCTTTAGAGTGATTTTTTGTGGGGGACTGGTGGCGATGATTTTAAGTATCATTTGGTTGATTGGGGTCAGGTTTGTCAACCCAAGCGAGTTGGAGGGCTGGGGGTACGTCGGTTGGTGACTTTTAATCGAGCTTTGTTAGGGAAGTGGCTTTGGCGTTTTGCTTTGGAGCCTTACAGATTGTGGCGGCAGGTGATGGCGTCTTAATATGGGTTGGGCAGAGGGGGCTGAGTTTCTGGGTCTGTGACCTGTACTTATGGGTGTGGGTTATGGAAAGGAATTTGGTTGGGCAGGGTAGAGTTTTGGAAATGGATAGGGTTTAAGGTGGGGGAGGGGAGTCGGGTGCGGTTTTGGAAAGACTTGTGGTGTGGGGAGTTGGTGTTGGAGTCCCGTTTCCCGTTGATTTTTAATATTGCATTAGATCAAGATGCATTGGTGGCTTCCTATTTGGGTGGTGGAGTAGTTTGGGATATTCAGTTACGGCGACAGGTTCATGATTGGGAAGTCGCTCAGTTGGTGGAGTTCTGGGGTTTTTTATATGGTCTGGGAACGGTCGGGGTGGGGCATGATGTGTTGGTATGGACTAGGTTGGGGGCAAAGGGGCGGTTCACAGTAGCCTCATTTTATCAGGGTTTGATGGGAGATGCTGGTTGGGTCTTCTCTTGGAAAAGTGTTTGGGTTCGGGGGTTCCGACTAAGGTTGCCTTTTTTATGTGGACGGTAGCTTTAGGTCGGAATCTTACTTTGGATAATTTGATGCGGCGGGGGCATATCCTTGTGAATCGGTGTTATATGTGTTGCACGGATGCGGAGTCAGTGAATCATTTGTTTCTTCATTGCTCGGTGGCTTCGCGTTTGTGGGGCTTCGTTTGTTCACTCTTTGGCCTTGCTTGGGTTCAGCCACAAGGGGTGTTTGATTTCCTTTGGGCTTGGCGGGGCGTTCGTCTTGGCCGGCGGCGGCACCGAGCTTGGTTATTGGCTCCGTTATGCTTGATGTGGTTGCTTTGGTTGGAACGGAATCGTCGTACCTTCTTAGCGGTTTCTCATAGTGTTTCTTGGTTACAAAGTCGTCTTTTTATAGTTTTGTATAGTTGGTTGGAAGGGAGGGTCGATCCGGATTCATTTGTGTTTTTAGATTTTTTAGATGAGGTGATTGGTTAGTTCTGGTTTTTCTTGGTTCCCTTTCTGGGTGGTTTTTCTTGTATTGGTTGCATCGTCTTGATACTTTTTTAATAAATTTGCTTATTTATCAAAAAAAAAAAGAACTCAGTATGGGTTGTTATTGGAAATGTGGCCCTTATATTAGAGGGCTTGATAACGTTAATTTAATTAGAAGTTAGATAATTCTGCCATTTGTGGAAGCCAGTAGCTTTAAAAGCTGAGAACATAATTATAGACAGTAGAGTATATGCAGCTAAAAACCTATCACTGTAGTGATTGTCTTACTTTCACATGTGAATTCCTTCTCTCCTTGTTATTAGATTTTATCTTGTTGACAACTCCAACCCTGTAGCAAAAAAAAAAAAAAAAGAAATTCAGTTTCTTTGTATACAAGTTGCACCCCTTGTAGGTTTGCCACTGCAGTCCTTGCTTCTTTTCTTTGGAACTTGTAGGTTTCGTGCAGTATTTTTATTACTTGAGCAAATATCATTTTCACACTCACAATCTTCTGTAGTGTTTTTTCAGATACATATTGGAATCTCCAAGCTTTATGTTGTTCTTCAAATATGTGGAACTGCCTAACTTTGATGTTGCCTGTGATGCATTTTTAACCTTTAAGGTCAGATCTATGAGTTTATAGTTCTAGTAAAAACTTATTTTGGTTCTCAAAGCCCATTTACCTGCTGCATATTGAGATATCCTTTTAAGGAAATGTTCACAGGATCTGCTTACCAAACATGAAGCTGCAGTCTCTGAATTCCTGACTGCTCATTACGATGAGGTTTGCTTTTTCGTCTTTCTTACATTAAGGTTATGAACAAATCTAGGCACCCTCAAATGTTTGTTGACACCATTAAAATATGTTCCCACGGAGTGTTTCCAGGTAGGAAATCCAATTTATCGAGGACTGTTCTGGCCATCTTGGAAATCCTTTTTTATTTTCTTTCTAAATTACTGAAAAGTGTGCAATGCAAATTCTTTATTGTGCACACCTGCGTTGTGCAGGCAGTGAAGATGGCTTTATTCATATTTATCTTGGTACATTTACTGTTTATTGTTTCTTTTGGCTTATCTAATAATTGATTGTTGTTTCAGTTCTTCGAGCAATATGAAAAACTCTTGACCTCCTCTAACTATGTGACAAGAAGACAGTCTTTAAAGGTTGATTGTCCATCTGATTTGTTGGATTTGCTCTCTCTGAGTGCTATACTTCATGTGATTTATTAACTATAGAATGTAATGATTTTAGCTTCTCTCGGAATTTCTTTTGGAGTCTCCAAATTCGCATATAATGAAGCGCTACATTGTTGAGGTTCGATTCATGAAAGTCATGATGACTTTGCTGAAGGTATTGAATATTGTATTTTCCATCAATGCTTTTACTATTTTCTGTTTGCATGATCTATAGGTAGTTCTGGATATACTAAGCAACGGTTTTTGGTGATGTCTGTACACTTACATCTTCAGTTAAGTTAAACTTAGTAATTCAGATTCTCATTTGTTTAACATATTTTGCTGCCTTTTGCTTAGTTCCTTTTTTTCCCTTTAATCTAGGTCACTTTGTTCTGTTATTTTGTGCTTTGTGGTTTACAATTTCATAGCCTATCACTATAAAGGAACTTTGTTGTAACATAAAAAAATTGTCGCGTAATCGATTCATCTATAGGTTTTGCCACTAATCTGTTGAAGTCCCTTCCTTCTTGTCCCAGCTTGGTTGGATCCTTGCGTGCTCGAATATTTTCCCTATTATTCTGCCTAACTTACCATTGTCAACCAATCAATGATTGCATCATAATGTATCTTAATGCTCATAATTATGATACAATGTTGACAAAAATTAAACCTTTTGCAGTAAAATGGATCCAGTGTAGCATAGTTTACATAGTAACGATAATAGTCACCTGATAATTAATATTGTCTCTGTCCACAGAAAGCCTTCATCTATCTGCCTAACCTACCATTTTGTCAAAGATATATATGAATGCATGCACTCAAATTCTTTGTAATTGTACATCCTCCATTGTCTTACCTGTTTGCTTTTGTTTTGAAATTTGCTGTTGAGCAGGATTCAAGCAAAAATATCCAGATCTCTGCTTTCCATATTTTTAAGGTACTGCATTCCATGCTGTCAAGGATTATATTATACCATTACAAACCCCCTCAGCTTCACGAAAAAATAAAAAAGGAGGAGAAGACGAGGAAGGAAGTGGGCCATACATGCTGGCTTTTATTTTGTTTATTTATTTATTCTAAAACTTGACCATCAAAATTGAACCATACCTCTGAAAATGGAAAGTACAAGTTCCTAGGAGCCCTTGTGTTGCACTTTACCGTGGATTGGGGGTTTCCCTTTTATCACATACAATTCTTTGTTAGTTTCACAAATCCTTTCCATTGGCTACTTAATTAATAAACCGCATCATACTGCATAAATAACTTTTCGTGGATTACATGGTTACTAAAAGGGCCGTGCATGTCTATATGCATTTTAATTTGCTTTGTTTTATTCTACCTATAGGTTTTTGTGGCCAACCCTAACAAGCCTCGAGAAATAAAAGTTATCCTCGCTAAAAATCATGAAAGATTGCTGGGCTTGCTTCACAGTCTCTCCCCTGGAAAAGGTAAATGCATACTTAAATCATCTCCAATGTAAGAGCAACGTGGTCTAATTGGTAATGACGGTCTGCATACATGATTGGTTCTTGTTCATATCTGTTACGATCATTGTTTGTGTTGGATCGTGCCTGTCTCTGCTAATTCAGTATACTTTTCAGGAGCTGATGATGATCAATTCGAAGAGGAAAAGGAACTGATAATCAAGGAAATTGAAAGATTGTCTCGGCAACCTAACCTTGCATGATAGAGGTACCTTCCCATAATTGTTTCGGAGTTGTGTTGTGTAGCCTTGTAATAATGACAATTCCAAAGCCCCATTTCAGAGGAAAAAGGAAAAAAAAAAAGAAAGCAATATCTATTATTTGTCAGTGGTTGAAAACCTAGGCGCTTATTATTAATTTTTAAAAATCCAAAAAAGCCAGTTTAAATAGAGGCCATTAGCAAGTGTGTTTCAATTGTTGAAATTAATAGTCAGTAATGGAAATGGTGAGTGTAAAAAAAAAAAGCAAAGCAGGGAGATGGAGGACCTGGATTCCAATTTTTCTTCCAATTTTTACAAATCATTTTTGTGCAATCTTTGATATTTGTAATTTCTCAAATTAGATGGAGGAATTTGTATTTTAGACAAATTTTAGGGAGTGTATTGATCATTTCTCCTACATTGTATTTGTTAGACAGTTGCTAGGGTTTGCAGGAGTTGAAATTGTGGTCGTTAAGAAATTGCAAACTGAAGCCTACCAAATGAAATCATAATCTTCTAAAACTCATTTAATCAAGTATGAATGATGAGAAAATTGAATTAGGACAAAATATTTTGGTCTTGTTTATTAATGTTTTTGTTGTAAAAAATATGGAAAATCAGAACCGAAAATGAGTTTAATATCTGTTCTGCTTGTTAAAAAAATACTGTAGCTTTCAAAATTATCAAAAATTATACATATAAAAAAATATGTTTTGACTTGTTTTGAAAACAATTTTCAATAAAAATGGGTGTTCTTGTTCATTTTGAAAACGTGCGTATAAAATATAATTTTTTTGCTAAACAGAAAATTATATTTTCCTCTCAATGTATCACCATAAGGTTTTTTTGTATGAATAAAATGAGTCAAGTTAACTTGAGTTTGACCTGTAATTAACTTGCCAAGAATTAATTAATTTATTATGCAAATAAGTTAAATTTAAATATATTATAAAAATTGTTAAATTTTTAAGTTGAATTTAATAACTTATTGCATAAGAAAATGATTGGGCTTGCCTTCAGTTTAGTTCGGGTATGTTAGGTTTTATAGGTTTCGTTTTGATAATCAGAATCGTTAATTTTGAAAAATTGTGTGTATATCATTTATAAAAAAATTAAATTGATTTGATAATTGTAACTATTTTATTTTATTACATTTGTCTAAAAAAAAAAACTCTTTTTAAAAGCATGTTCATCGTCCATTTTCTTGATGTCAAACCCAATAAAATAAAAAGATTATAATTTGATGTCAAACATAAGAAAATAAAAACAATTATATTTATCAAATTAAATTAATTATTTTTATAGATTAAATTTATTAAATTTTATTAAACTTTAATTAAGATTTTTTAGACTTTTAAATTTTATTAAATTTTAATAGTTGTATTTGTCATTCAAACAATAATTATTCATAATTTATGATTATATATAAAAGAACATGATGATTTGACATTTATTTTGAATTTCAAAATTTTAAAATATCAACTTTTAAATTGAAAAAAAAATAATGTGAAAAAAAAAAACTAATAAACTGAATTATTTTTTGGGCAAAACTAACAATTTCTCCTATAAAAAGGTATGATGATGGAATATTGATATGCAAAATTAAAAAAATAATAATAAATAAATAACTGTAAAAATGAAAAAACTGATAATGTTATCGGTTTTATTAGATAGTTAAATCAAACCAACAAGTAAAAAGACAAAAACATTTGATCTCATGCTCTGTTTTTTTATCAGTTAGTCAAACAATTATTTAGAACATTACTATACAAAATTGATAATATTTTTAATTTTAAAAATTAAAAAAAATTGATAATATTATCAATTTTACTAAATAAGATTTATTAATTCAAAAAATCTTAATCTTAAATAGAATCTGAATTATTATAATATTTGTAAATAAAATTTTTGAGTAATTAATTCTAAAATTTTATGTACTGCTAAGAAAAATTTATTAAGTGTCATTTTTGGAACATAGTAAAAATGTCCAAAAACGTGGCTGCCAAAAACGCAACAAAATCCCTTTGGGGAGTGCCAAAAACGCAGCCTTAAAATTACAAATTAAAGCCTAGAGTATTGATTCATCCCACTAATTTTTGGACCACTAATAGCTCTAATGAGCTTAAAAAAAAAAAAAAAAAAAACAAACTCAAGCCAAAACATCACATCACTTTGGTGGGGGCCACTGTGCCACATCATTAGTGATGCTCTAGAGCTCTCAATTTAGTGCTCTAAAACATTATTCTTAAAGCCTATGAAAAAAAAATAAAAAAATAAATCTCTTATGTTGGGTAAGAGTATTTTGATCATTTTAATTTGATTTGACACCATAAATAAATATTAAACTAAAAAGTAAAAAGCCAGCTTTTTACCAACTTCTCAAATCACTTTCAAAAAAGCCAAATAACTTGATAAAAAATTAAAAATCAACTTTTTACCAACTTTTCAAAACAGCCCTAAATTACTCAAACCTAAATCTATTAAAATTCATTTAAAGTGAACCTAAAAAGTACATAAGTGAAACATAAAACTTGTTCGAATCCAAACCTAAAACAACCTTAACTAGCTCTCTGACAAAGTCCCACACGTCAACGCTTTTCAAGTCCTACGTGAGCTGAATATCAACGGCTATATATACATCCCACTCACACAAACATACAAAATTCAAAAACACTTTCTTTCTTCTTCTTCTTCTCACTTGTCTTCAAACCCTAGTTAATTTCTCATTGCTTCAAATTCAAACCCTACTCTCTCTCTCTCTCCCCCATGAATTTCTTCAATTCTCTCTCCTCAGACGACCCACACACTTCTCCTTCCTCCCCACTACCCAATTCCCAATCAAACGAGCCCTCAATTTCATCAATCACCAATGTGTGGTCCTTTGGTGACCGCCTCATCAAAACCCTTGCTTCCAAATCCAAGTCTCTGATCGAGATCTACTGTCGTGATCTCAAGGAATTTGCCTCCGGACTGAGGAACGAGACCGCCCTGATTCAGGAATTCGCCCTTAATTTTGGGAACAGAGTCTCTGAGATCATATGTCACAGTAAGAAGGACTCTGTTCTTCTTGCTGGTGATTCTGAACAATTTGAGAATCTGAAGAATTCGAGACCGTATAATAGGTTTAATGTGCAAATTCGCAAAATTCAGTGTGCTTTGAATACGTATTGCGAGGAACCGGAGAATTTAGAGGAGTACTATAAGTGGGATTTAGGGTTTAATTTGGATGAGAAGGAATGGGAGATTGATGATTTGATCGAAGAGAATGGGATGATTGAAGAGATTTATAATGAGGTTGTTCCCAGTAGGGTTGATCGGGAGACCTTTTGGTGCCGGTATTTTTATTGGGTTTGTAAGGTTAAGAAAGCAGAGGAGGCAAGGGCTAGGCTTGCTAATAAGAGGGCAATTTCAGTACAGGAGGAAGAAGAGGATGAATTTGGTTCGGGTGTTGAAGACGATGATTATGAAGAGATTGATGGGTCTAAGTTGATGAATAATTCAAAACAAAAGGCGGGAGAGAAATATTCTTCAGAAAAGATTGTTGTCGAGAGGTCTAACATTGAAAGTGAAGAAAAGAGTCTGAAACAAGAAGAAGATAAGGGGGTTGTTTCTGAATCCAAGAGTGACAATGGGGTTGATGAGAGAGTGCATTTGGATGATGGGTCTGAATCAATTGGCAGCATGTTGGAGGCAAGATCTGATGAATTGGGTTCGGAAAGAAAGATAGAAAATGGCCGATCGTGTAAAGATAGTGACTTTTCCGATGTCTCAAGCCAACCATCATTAGTACCTGAGGAAGAAGACGATTTTGGGTGGGATAAGATTGAAGATATTGATAGCATTGATTCTGGAAGATGCTATGAAGAGGAGGAAGATCTCAGTTGGGATATTGAGGATTTTGACGAGCTTGTTGATCCACGATGATAAATATTCTGAGTTTTGTTCTATATAACTCACTACTACTCTCTCCAATTGGGATATTTTGCAAATTGTTAATTTTTATGCCATCATGGTGAGTTTTTTATTTTTTATTTTTAAGGTTGAGGTGTGAATACAATATTTTTTTATCAAGTGATTAATTGTGTTAGTGATCTAGAATTTTATATGTTAGGAGTCTCTTAAAATTGTTAATTCATATAGAATGGATTGTTTTGTGCGTTTACTTCACAAATGGTGGGTATGTGTTTTTTTTTACAAGTCAAACCAATTATGCATCTATGTTCAACTTATTTGTGCTTGATTTGTACACGACTTATTAAAAGTTTGTTTAAGATATGCTGGTTATGCAAATAAGTTAAATTTGAACATATTTTAAAAATTGTTAAAGTTTACATATTAGTCTCCTTATTAAACTTGGTGTGTGATATGTTTGAAACAACTTCATATTCAACTTAACTCAACTTACAAACCTAGGTGGGAACTGCTTTGGAACCCATTTTAATTTCTCAATTGGTTTTGGTACTCATCTATAGTATGTATTAAGTAATAAGTAAAAGGAGGTTTTAACCTCAAGCCTTGTGGGAGCTCTAATCTTTCATTTTAAATTTTTTGATTTTTTGATTTAAAAAAAAAAATCTTAGCATTTATTAATTTCTCCTAACCCCCAAGTCTTACCTTCATAATAACACTTTAATGTATTAAGAACAAGCATAAAAAAAAATTCTTTGAAATCCAATACATTTAAATTCCTTGAAAAGTCCAAACGCATATGATTATTATCCCTTATAATAACACTTTAATGCATTAAGAACAAGCATAAAAAAAATTTTTTGAAAAATCCAACACATATGATTATTATCAAAATATTAAACTTTAATATAATATAATAAAAAAGAAGACATTTAATTCTTGAAAAGTCCAACACATATGATTATTGTCAAAATATTAAATTTTAATATAATATAAAAAAAGAAAAAAAGAATACATTTAAAAAATATATATAGATAATTGTAAATATATTAAGGAAAATGGGGTTTCTAAACCCCAAGCCTTATGGGAGCTCCAATCTCTCAATCTTAATTTTCTAAATTTTTGATTTAAAAAAAAAAAAAAACCTCAGCATTTATTGATTTGGTCAAAATCCCCTGATCAGCATTTATTAACTTTTTCCAATCTACATGCCTACATTTATTGATTTAGTCAAAATCTCTCATTAGCATTTAAAATCTCCTTATACAAATAATTATAGATACAACCTGTGCATAGTTACTGCAGTAACCTTTTTAATTTCTTCTGTACACTATGGTTAGTGATAAGATTATTAAATTATTTTTATAAAAAAATCTTAAAAGACATAATTTATATATTAAAAAAAATTAAAACAAATATAAATATCTATAATTATCCCGTGTATAGCACGGGTGATAGGCTAATTATTTGTAATTAAAATGTCTTTAGGATTGGCCCCTTGGTGTTTATGAATATTTAGGCATCGTTTGAAAACCCAAATTTGAGGCTAAAATAGCCTCAAACATAAAAAAATCAAATAATCTCAAACATTATTCTAAGGCTTCAAAAGTAGTCTAAGCCACTGTCAATAAGTTGATAGCCTGTCACCATAGGCAGTAAATAACAATTTGACAAATTTTTGGAAAACGTGAATATCTTATGTTAGGGGCAAATTTGTCATTTTAGTTTCAAATGTCATTTTAAAAATATTTTTTCAATATAATAATTAATAAAAAAATTCAACTCAACTTTTCAAACATTAAAAACTAAAAATAACCTAATAAAATCGTCAAATAGCCAAAAAAATAAAAATAAAAATAGCCACTTCTCAAATAAGGTGTTAATCTTTGTTATATAACATGAGCCTTTTGGAGAGTGAACTAATCAAAAGACTAATTTGACTAAATTATTAAGATTTTAGAAACGTGCTGGTCATATCCAATTTCGATGAGCATCCAAGTTATGATTAAATAATGAATATACTCCCTTTATGGTCACAACCCATGGTCATGGTCATGTTTGGATATTGAATTATGAGAAAATAAAAATCAACTAGTAAAGAGGGATAAAAAAAAACTTTTATTTCATTTCTATTTTCACCCCATCCAAAGATTGAAACTCAGCTGGATGCCCAACAGTTGCAATTCTTGAGCTGCTTAAATAGTACCAAAGCTTAACATGTAATGGAATTCAAGATACATAATGATAAATGAAAGAAAATTCAAACACCAGAAAAACAAGAAACACAACCAAAATTTTTTAGCCAAAAAGAGATTTTATTTTTGAATAAAGCTATTGACTACACTTGATTCAAGTTTATGTGAGGCCCATAGTTTGCAACAGCCTACTCAGCAGCAATATAGACATTAACGATGCCAAAAATAGCATCTTTGTATTAGTCATAGGAAAATGTTTGAGGGCCACAATTTTTGTAGCCATAATGGCTCAAAACTGTTAAAACGACGTCGTTTTGGGTGCAAAACATGCCAAAACGACTTTTAGCCAAAAAGAGATTTTATTTTTGAATAAAGCTATTGACTACACTTGATTCAAGTTTATGTGAGGCCCATAGTTTGCAACAGCCTACTCAGCAGCAATATAGACATTAACGATGCCAAAAATAGCATCTTTGTATTAATCATAGGAAAATGTTTGAGGGCCACAATTTTTGTGGCCATAATGGCTCAAAATTGTTAAAGCGACGTCGTTTTGGGTGCAAAACATGCCAAAACGACGTCGTTTTGACAGTTTTGAGCCATTGTGGCCACAAAAATTGTGGCCCTCTAGCATTGTTGTAAATCATATACTATACCCACGTCAGGCTTTGCAGTCAGTTAGGATAAGGTAAGTAAACAAACATCAGACTGTTTGTTTCATGCAATACCTGTTGGAAAAATGGTTTAATATAGGCATATTTTTTAGTCAAAATTTGAGTGGGCCCCAAACGTCTTTTGGGATGGGTCCGTAGAGGTGACGTGTTTCTTGTCGTGTGACATCTCACACGGTGAAGACGGAATGTCAAAACCATTTATGAGTGAATGGGTAAGTGACATCGTTTTCAGGTTTAACATTAATTTTTATTTAGATAAAATTCATTTGAATTTTTTCAATAAAAATTATTGTGGGAATTTAATTTAATTCTAAATTTAAATTTTGGATTCCTAAGCGGTTTCCTAAAATTTGTAATTATGAAAATTTAATTTAATTCTAAATTCAAATTTTAGGTTCTTAAGAAGTTTCCTAAAATTTGTACCTTTTCATTTATCTATTTAACTATTTCTATAGTTTAATATATATATATATATATATATTTGAAATAGTTTAAATAATGAATTACTTACAGTTCTTTGACTTGGTCCTCCGTGGACAACTTTTCAAATTTGTTTGAATTTAAGGGTCCCTGTACCAACGGTCAGAATAGTTTGAAATTAACTATTGCACCTGTTCTTTCATAGTGCATCTGTTCATTCAAATTGTCCATACCTGTTCGGGTCTTTTGTTTTGCCTATATATACAATCAATTTGCAGCAGTCCAGGCGATCTGAAAAAAATTGAGTCTGAAATTTTGTCCTTTTGTTGTCCATTTCTTTTTAGTGCATTATTCTTCATATATAATTTTAGGAATAAATATTCAGAGAGTTAGAACACAGGTTTAGTTCGCCGAACAATTTGTTTTGGAGTGCTACTACAAATTGGTTAAAATCATTGTATCCTAGGAGATAGACGCCACTCAATCGTAAGCACCGTAACGGGGCAAATCTGTCTTAAGAACAGAGTGTCACACACTCGACTTGGTCTTTGAATTTTTAATTCAGTTCGATAAATAAATTCGGTACGTTATTTATTTATTTGTTTGGCTTTATTTCAATTTATTTTATTTACACAGAAGATTGTTCCAACAATCTTAAGACAAA